CATCATCAGCAACATCGTTGTCATCGTCGTCGTCATCATCAGCAGCATCAGTATCAGCATCAGGAACATAATCGTCACACTCATCATCTGCATCATCAGCATGTTAGTTGCTGGTAGTACTATTACTACGACTATGTTCACTACTACCCTTGTTCTTGTTAGTAGTGTTGTTAATAGTATTCTGACAACTAGTATTATTACTACTTGTAGTGTTCTTATGAATAATAGCATCATCATCATCACCACCACCACCACCACCACCACCACCATCATCATCATCATCATCATCATCATCATCATCATCATCATCATCATCATCATCCTCTTCCTCCTGTCTCCTGTTTGCTCGTCCACCTCCGCACTCCTCCTTCCTCAACCCTCATCCGCCTCCCCACCAATCTGCCTCCCTCCTTCCCTCATCCATCCATGCCCCCCACTGCGCGCTGCTCTGTTCGGGGCCCTTCCAAAAACCTCCATGGTGGATCTACCTCCATGGACTCCGCTTTCTTCCAGGAAATCTAGAATCCACGGATCTTCCACCAGGGGGCGCCCATTGCCCCTGCAAGGCCTCCGTGGGGCATGAAGAGGCCTCCGAGACGGCCCTACCTACGGGAGGATCAGAATCCCTGGACTATGGGTTCGGCCAGATAGCCCAAGGTCCAGGGACCATGATCCCCCTCGAAACCCTCTTTAAAGGCGCCTCCGAAATGGGGTCCGAGCAGACGGGGTGGTGACCCCCAAGCAGGGGCTTATGGGGGCCGAGCAAATGGGGTCCGAGCAGATGGGGTCTCTAGAGGCACCTCCTAAATGGGGTCCTAAATGTCTAACATCGGCCGACCCCCGATGGCGCATGATCTCCCCGCCACGTAAGCCCCGACGATTTGCTTTCTGGAACACTCCGGCTCGAGTTGTCCTGCCCCTGGGCCTGCCTGACCTGCGCCGGGGAGTGCAAGGCCGGGACGCGCGCCAACACGCAGCTTTTCGATCGCCCGATCGTTCCATGTAGACCGATTCTGGGCCGCTGGCGGCGTTCAACCTTGAACACCGGCGGCGGGGTCGCCGCCGGTCGACACGACGCGAACCTACCAGAACCTCCACAGACGGCGCGGAGGCGTCTCCCATGGCGGCACCTCAGGCGGGCGGCGCCGCCGACGTCGCACGCGCGCGCGCGACGCGCGCACGCGTGGTACGGCAAGTCGTCGTTGACGACGCGGGGCGGCGCTGGCGCGGCGGCGCTGGTGCGGCGGCGCTGGCGCTGCTGTGCTTGGGTCTCTGTAGTCGGCGAGGAATCGGGGCTGAGTCCAAAGAGGAAGTGGCCCAAGAGGGAGACTCGCAAACCGTGGCCCGAGGCATCTGCGCGGACGAGGGGGGACCAGGGGACGCGCTGAAGAAAGGAGGGGGGCATGAAATATGGGCAGACATCATGGAACAGCCATGATATCCACCCCCCCCTAGTCATCACCCCCTCCTGGCCGCCCCCGAAGGAGCATCAGGAGTATCAGATGAGCGCGCCAGGGTATATCGCCAGCAGCCACTCAACAAAAACTGGTTGCCGCAAATGCTTGGGAGACGTGCGCGACATCCTCCGCGGTGTACGCCTCTGATATGCAAGCGGGTTGCCCTCTGGCGCGTGGGAAATCAATTTTGTCCGTGGTAGCCAAATTATCACGGCCCTTGCGAGAAATGCCGTCACACTCTGCAGAAAGGTGTCGGCCGCCCCTGGAGGAGGAGGAGGAGGAGGAGGAGGAAGAGGAGGAGGAGGAGGACTTGAGGTCATATGGGTTGTGGGCGCCTCCGTTAGTGGGCCCAGTTTCCCTGGAGGCACCACCCTGAAGCGCACGGTGACCCGATGGTGCGAATGGCCTGGGGTTGTGGCCCAGACCGCATGAAACAAAGTCATTTTGGGTTAGGAACCTGCCACAAGGCGCAAGAAGGCCGCAAAAGGGCCCCAAGAGGACCCCAAGGCGGTCACAGGATGGTCCAAAAGTAAAATGCTGGAACCTACCAGAACAGCAGGAAGGCCTCCAGAGGGTCTCAAGAGGCCCCGAGTCGGTCATAAGATGAGCCACGAGGCAGATCTACAGCAAAAATGTCCACCGCTAGGAAAGACACGCCCGGGTGTTCAGGACCTGGCAAACCAGGGCGTGTGCTCACCCTGGTCTTTGTGACGATCGATTGGTGCAGCTGGACGTTGGTGCACAACGGACAAACCAGAGGATGTGTTGATCGAATCTGGTCGTGAAGCACGCGTCCGAATCCCACAGAAGCGGCAAGGTTTGTGTAGAAGAATATGCGTGGTAACTACACCTGAGAACTAAACACAGCTGTAATGTGTTATCATGTGATTGTGGGTAGGGTACTCTGATCGGCCACGCGGCCAGAACAGAGATACACAAAATTGCCCCAGACCTCCCTCTGGGAGCAGAATTGGGAAGGTGACGAATGGAGAAATGAAAATGGTACTAAGTTCAAAGCCACGGCATCCTTCCGAGGCTGGGCTGGCATCCCCCAGAATATACGCGCAATTGCCTGCGGATGGGCAGGCACGCCCAAACACTGTCTCGCGCACGTGGCCACAGCTCCGCCTCCCGGTGGCCATCAAAGATCCTTGAAGGGGGAATTCAGCAATTTCCGATAGAGCATGGTGGGATTGACGGGGTCAAATCCCAAATAACTACCTCTCACATGTATTGCCTGGCTGTGTGACTGATTGATCATAGGGTTTGTGCTGGTCTCAGACGTCTCCGAAGCTGAAACGGACGATGCGGGAACCGACAGACCTGTGCAAAACATGCGATGGCGTATGCAAACGACCCGAAGACGGGGGAGAAAAATGAGAGCGACAGGCACTCTTTTTTTTCCGTGAGAGCGACCAGAGACTCATTGCCAGCACGCCTGGTCACTGGTCAGCGCGGGAACGAAGTCTCAATGGTGAGAGGAGGTTTTGCGCGAAAAGGTTGCTTTTCGAACCATCGGGTTAGAGACAATAAAATCCTTCCGGCCCCAATCATCAAATTAGAAACCTTTGAAATCCCTTCGGGCCCTGCCCTGGAGCCCCAAGGCTGAAATGGCCTCACCGCCGCGGCCATGCAGCTGCAAGTAGGGGGAGGGAGTAGGGCGATTGCGGTAGGTGGGGGCGTGGCAAGGTAGCTCCAACCTGGTGGCTGGTACTACTGGCTGCGCCACCGGCGCCTTTCAGGCCCTGCACTGGTGGAAGGCTGGAGTGGCCTCGGCACCGCAGCCACGTCGCTGCAGCGGGAGATCGTGGCCAGGTGGCTCCAACCTGGTGGTTAGCACTCCTGTCTGCATCAGCGGGACAACGCGACAGGGACGTGGTGGCTGGCACTCGGGGCACCTGAACTGGGAACTATGGACCCTAGGACTGCATGCACAGAACTGCGCCCCCCCCCCCCACATGGGAGGAGGGGATGGGACGGTGGTCCCTCCTTTTGCCCTCCTCGCCACGACATCGCCCTAAGGGGGACGAGCGTCCTGGACTGCCGGCCTTGCCGCCAGACAACGCCCTTGAGAAGGCTGCCTCGCAACGGTGATATGCGCGCAGAATCTGCAGACGCACGTCAGCCAGCGCGGCCGACAGCCAGAGCCCAAGGAAGTACGAACCACTGTAAGTGGACAGTCGCGAGAGCGCGCAGCACAGCTGACCTTGCCGCCAGGCTGCGTCCTTGAGGCAACTGCCTCGCGACGTGGGTGGGTGCGCTGAATCTGCGAATGCACGACAGGCAGCATGGTCGCCAGCCTGCCTCGAAACAAATCAAACCGCAGTAAGCAGAGAGACGCGGAAGCGCGCAGGACCGCCAGCCGATCCACCAGGAATTGTCCTCAAAGCAAATGCCTCGCGACGGGTGGGGAGAGCGCCGGACCTCCAGCCTTATCGGACTGGGTCCTTGAGACAAGTGCCTCGAGGCGGGGCTGTCTCAAGACACCTAGGCGAAGACCTCGAGGTCCTCGAGGTGAAGAGCTCGACGTGAACACATCGAAGTGAAAGCCTCGCGGTGAAGACCTCGAGGTGGATCCCTTGAGGCAAAAAACTCGAGGTGAGCCTCGACGAAGTGGCGACAGCGTGCACCAAAGCAGGACGACAAGCCTTGCCACCGGGTTGTGTCCTTGAGGCAACTGACTCGCGACGGGGGCAAGCGCTCAGGATCTCTCGATGTACGAGAACTGGCGTAACAAACATGTGGATGCGCGAAAGCCTGAGTATTCACGCCAGCCCGCGTCGAAGACGACATGGGCAGTAGCGGGCAGGTAGACAAAAGAGTGTGTAGGACCGCTTGCCAAGCCGCCAGGCTGTGTCCTTGATGCAGTTGTCTCGCGACGGGGGTAAGAGTGCGAAAGCTGCGGTTGAACAAATATTTGCGCTGCCGCCAGCCAGCGTCAGCCTTGCCGCCGGGCTGTCCTTGACGCATCTGCCCTGGACGGGGGCAATCGTGCAGAACCCATGGATGCGCGCAAACTGGCATAGCCGCCAACCAACCTCCAAAAGGAGACGAACCGTGGTAACCGCATAGACGTGAAAGCGTGCAGGACTGCTGGCCTTGCCGCCTGAGGCCTGTTGTGCCTTTGAGACAAATTCATCGCGACAGGGGGTGACAATGTGCTGGACCGCAGGCCTTGCCGCCAGACTGTGTCATTGGGGCAACTGCCTCGCGACAAGACACCTAGGTAAAGTCCTCGAGATCCTCAAGGTAAAGGCATCGATGTAAAAATATCGAGGTGACGGCCTCGTGGTGAAGACCTCGCAGTGAAGCCCTCAAGGTTAAGATCCCGAGGTGATCTTTGACAAGGGAATTCCTCTCGGCGAAGACCTGGGGGTGGAGGCCTCGAGGTGAAGACATCGAGGCGAGGACCCCGAAGTGCGCAAGACATCCAGTCTTGGCGCCAGGCTGTCCTCTAGGTGGATGCGAAGGAGGAGGAGGAGGAGAAGGAGGAGGAAAACCGTGCAGAGGGACGCGCGCGACGCGGAGGGAGACCGCGGATGCCTGCATCCGGTCCTCGGCGTACAGGCCAGCACTGGACAGCTCCGCCCGCTCCGCCTTCTCCCGCATGCCTTTGCCGACCTTCGCCGCGGCGCGGCTGCAGAGAAGGGAGCAAAGCGGCATGAAGATGAACAAGATCAATCAACATCAAATCGGAAAATCGGATCGAATCTGAATGTGGGTCTGATCGGGCAGCATCGGCACAACATCGAAATCGAATCGGATCGGCTGCGGGCCGCATCGGACGGTTGAAATATCGGAATCGAATGGGATCAGGCCAGCCGTAATCGATATCAAATCAAATCAATCGGATCGAAATATATGAACCCCCCTCTGGGGCGGTCCACCCGCCAAGGACGGCGCTGGAGACACCGCCACGGAGATCCCGAGCATATCCAAGGTATTCGGGCGTACCTCCGAAAGTGCATGTTTGTGTGGTTTGTGTTACTCTTCAAGGCTATACACAGACCCGAAGATCGAATCTTCCCGGATCGAGGCCTGTCGCAGTGTTCGTCACCATTCCCTAAGGTGTCGTGGCGCTACTTTATGGCGCTAGCTTGGCGGCGCTACTATAGTAGCGCCAAAATGGCTACTATAGTAGCCATTTTGGCTCAAGCAACAATTAGTGGCTCAAGGTTGCCCACTGAAAAAGGCTTCCTTTTATACATTCCCCTTCAGCATTCCCCTTATATACATACATCCTTCTGACTTCTACCACCACGCCACCTTTCCCGTTCCCTTTCCCATATCTCGCGATGGCCGGTACGCGAGCGCCAGGGACCCCAGTTCGAGGAGTACTTGAGCGAGACGTTCGCCAACGCTTGTTCAGCCCACTTCACGAGATGGACGATCTCGACCTCTCCCCTCCCCGACCGGAGGTGCACGCGATGGCAACTCCTACGACGTCGGAACAGCAACAACAAGGATCAGCTCCTGAGGCGGCCACGCTCGCGCAGATCGCGGCCATCATGAAGCAGGAGGTTCAGCCCCTACGGAATGCAATTTCTGGGGTGCAGCGCAGCGTGGCAGATCTTGGGAAAACCTTCGAGGCGAGAATGGGCGCGACCGAGGAGAGACTAGAAGATATCGACATCCGTCTGACGACCTTGGAAAACACGATCCACATGGCCCCCGAAGGATCTTACTTAGGATCCCATGCGACCGAGGAAGTCATGAACCACATCAAGGCGCTGGAGACCGAGATCGCCGAGCTGAGGAGCGCCGCCGGCTCCATCGGCTCCATTGGCACCACTTCCAAGCAGGAGACTGCCGCATTTGGCAACCTCCTCGGATTTAGCGGCCAGGCGGAGGCAGAGAAATGGTTGAAGGACCAGCTCTGGTGGTACAATGCCCCGTCCGCCGACGAGTTCTACTCAAAGGGGGACTTCTCGGGCATTCTCTTCGGCAAAATTGCCTCCACGGCCGATCGAAACTCTGCAGTATCAAAGCTCCGAGCCGCGCGTGTCTATTTGGAGGACAAACCAGTCTGGGCAAAGGCGGATGCTCCTCTCGAGGTCTGGGTACCCCAATCCGTTCTGTTCGGCGCGAAGAAGCTTTTCGTTTCGTGGGGCTTCGAGAAGGGAGCGTTCTGGGTGGACCTGGAAGCGGGCACGATAAAGATGGGGCCCGACACCGTGATGGAGGCGAGCGTGACGACGGGAGCGTTGAAGATCAAGTACGGCGACGGTTGGGAGCAGTACCTGAAGACGCACTCAGACAAGCTCTTGCGCAGCGGCGCGGGCAAGGGCAGCGGTAAAAGGGGCAAAGGCGGTGGTAAGGCAGGACAGCAACAGCGAGCTGGAGATCCGGTTCGCCCTCCACCCGCCCCGGCAGCTGCAAACGGCCGTAGCTAGGGACAATCCCGGTCGAGGGGTACAGGAGACGTTTCACCAGAATTCAATGTTAATCTTAATTGTAACGTTTACGGCAACAACGCACGTGTACATACCCTTGATCGGCTAGGGCGTTTGCTTGGGGAGCTTTCGGAACTAACATGGGATGTTGTTTGTTTTAGTGAGACCCGTGCAGCGTCTGATGATATTGATCTCGACGGGGGTCACCGCTTCATAGCGGCAGCGGGCTCGTCTAGATACGCTGGGGTGGCTATCTGCTTACATGCTCGGCACGCGGGAAGTGTCACAGCCACGCGTTCGCGATTTGGCCGTGTGCTAGCAGTAGACATTAATACCAATGACATTGCTTGCACGCTCTTTTCTGTATACATGCCACACGCAGGATATCCGCATGCCGATTTACTGGACTGCTACACGTTTTTACAACAGGAGGTCGATTTTGCTAGGAGGCGACGCCGGAAAATATGCATTGCAGGTGATTTTAACACCCAGTTTCACTTTGGAGAAAGAGGGCGCCTACTGCAAGCATTTTGTTTCGAGAACGGCCTTGAGGCCGGCAACGTGCAACACGCACGAAGCTCGGTTGGTGCCAAGCGAGCTTTAGATTATATGCTGTTTGATGCCTCTTTCCATTGCCAGTCTTGCTCACCGAGAGATTATTTAGATCTGGGATCTGATCACCGTGCGGTGCACGGGACGTTTAACCTAGGCCCAAATTTTCGGCGCCAGAAGAGCCGTCAGCACGATGCAATTCGATGGAAACCTTCGCTCAATGCCGAAGGCCGCGATTTGCTATATGAGAGCATTGTGCAGGAATCTCTCTTTGAATCTGGGCCGTCCTCTTTCTTTGCACTGGAGGACCACGTTGTCGCCGCAGCCAAGCGGGCTGGAGCTCGAAGTAACGCAACTAGCTCGCATGCGAAGCCATAGGATGCGCCTGAGTTGCGAGAGATGCGTCGACAGCGACGCGATGCATGTGACCCAGAGGAACGGTCCAGACTGTCCAAGCAGATTTTCCGACTGCACCGGAAACGCATGCGGGAGTATTGCGACGAGCGTGCTGCGTCACAGCTGTTGAAATTTGAGGGTATCAAGCACCTACCTCGAGTGCACATGTTCCCTTCGCAGCAGAGCAAGCGTTGTCCATTAGACTGTAATGTTTTTAAAGCTTCGCTCGAACAGACTTTTGCCACGGACTGCGGCACTGCCAGGAACGACTCGGCCGAGGCACATTGCAACAGAGGCTCGTATAATATCCCACCGTTTTGCATGGAGGAGTTGCGGCAAGCTTTTAAGCGCATGAAGCGCGGAAAGTGCGCAGATAAACGCGGCATCACCCTCGAAATGTTTGCGTGTGGAGGCGATGCTCTGCACAGACACCTGTTGTCGTGTTTGAATTCGTTGCTCAGCACAGGATGCATCGATCCCACATGGCAGGAAACGCGTTTTGTCATGCTGCCGAGAACGGGGAGCAGACATGATGTAAAAAACTGGCGCCCCATAGCCATTTTACGCATCACATATGAGATATTTGCACGATTACTGTTTGCACGCTTGCAGCCTGATCTAGAGAAAGAACAAACACATGACCAGGTAGGATTCCGTCCAGGCCGCTCCGTGGACGACGCTTTTGTTGTTCTGGAGGATCTGTCCACGAAAGCTTGGGAGTGGCAGCTCCCACTGTGGATCGCTAGCATAGACTCAGACCTCACGAAAGCGTTCGACAGGCTGGAACACCATGTGCTTTTCCAGGCATTGTCGGAGCAGGGAGTTCATGTAGAATATGTGCGTCTCTTGTCAGACATCTACAGTGCCCAATGGGGCAGCGTCAATGGAAGTGAAGCGTTCGACATTACGCGCGGCGTCAAGCAAGGAGACGTTTTGTCTTCATTGCTCTTTCACGCCGGCTTGGAGCACGCAATTCGGAAGTTCAAGCTGCGTGCTCGGCAGTGCGGCTTCGACGTTGGAGGCGTCAGCTTGCTTAGCAATATACGGTACGCCGACGACATTTTACTATATGCGCGTTCTGCAGCAAAGGTTTGTCGCATGCTGGACATCCTTTCGGAAGAATTGTCAGCATGCGGCCTGTCACTGAATGCCGACAAAACGCGAATATGTACTAACGACGTTGCTGTGTCCAATGCCGCAGAGCCCACCATTCTGCAGCTTGCCGCTTGCCAGTTGCCGGTTATGACGTCCCAGGTGTTTCACAAGTATTTAGGTAAGAAATTCGGGGGCGACTTGCGCAATAGGTCAGAGCGCATGGGGGAAGTTCCATTCCCAGAAGGCAGTACTTTTGAACAGATCTATATCTTTGCGCCTTCGTTTGAATCTTTTCGGCGCGATTGTTACGCCCACGGATGTTTACGGTCTTTCGACAACAGCCATGACAGCACAGCAGCGAGCGCGAGTTGTATCGACGCGTTCAAAAATGCTCGGCCGGATAATTAGTTGGTCTCAGCAAGCTGTCCCACGAAAGTTGGGAGGAAGCGGGGCGACGCACCAAGCAGAAAGTGACCGTTGCTTTGAAGATTTTTCCTGTGTCGAACTGGCTTGTCGTGTTGGATCGCTCAATGTGGCGCCTCGTGGCGCGACTCGCCACCGGCGGCTCGCGAGAATGGCCGGCGCAAGTTCTACGGTGGCGTCCGGACGGCATCAGACGCCGAGGGCGGCCACGTCGAAGATGGACAGATGCCGTCGATTCATTTCTGCGACAAGAGCACGGCACGAATCTAATGAATGTGATTCGCAGCCAGGAGCCTTTCCCTTGGCAGCGGTTGGAAAAGCATTTTCTAGATTTCATGAAGAGCGACTGATGTATACTTCATCTGGAAACTTGGGTACCAACTCTGTACGGGTTCCCAGCGGTTTCAAAATGGTTCCCCAAGGGTTTCGGAGGAGTTCCCCAACGGTTTCGGAGGAGGTTTCCCGACGGTTTCGAGGAGGTTGCCCGACGGTTTCGGACAGGTTCCCAACGGTTTCGGAGGAGGTTTCCTGACGGTTTCAGATAAGGTTCCCAACGGTTTCGACAGAGGTTTCCCGACGGTTTCGGAGGAGGTTTCCCGACGGTTTCGAGGAGGTTGCCCGACGGTTTCGGGGAGGTGCCCCGACGGTTTCGGACAGGTTTCCAGCGGTTTCGGAGGAGGTTTCCTGACGGTTTCGGAGGGGGTTCCCGAAGGCTTCGGCGAATGATTCCCGATGGTTTCGGGGACGATGTCGGTGCACGTTTGACTCGGTTCCGACGCGGCTGGGAAGAAATCGGAGGGCTCGGGGTCGACTGCAGGCCGACTCACCTTGCCCCTCCCCCCCTGCCAAACCCGCCCCGCCAATCGCCCCCCCTGGCCCCGACCCAGCCTCCACCAACAACCCCCTCCCAACCCCCTCCCCCCGCCCCCTCCCGGCCGCCCGCCCGTCCGACGACAAGTGCGGCATCAACGGCATCCTCAAGGCCATCCAGGGCAGAGGGAGAACAGGGGAGCGAGAGGAGTTCGGAGGAGACGCGGGGGAGGGAGGGGAGGAGAAGGGAGGGGCGAGCGAGGGAGGGGGGAGGAGAAGGGAGGGAGAGGAGGGGAAGGGAGGGAGGGGAGGGGAGAGGGAGGGGAGGGAGAGGGGGAGGAGGGGGGAGGCTCGGGAAGAATGAGGGTGTGCGTTCTTTCTTCATTTCCCCACTCGGTGCGCAGCTCTCGCAGATTGTCGACATCGCTCTCCAGACGATCCCTGAATTCAGAATTCACCAACAACGAATATCGAATATGGCGCGCAGAGAAAGCGCGCCTGCGCCACATTGGCCAGGCCAGCTAAGGCAGGGGGGCGACGGGAGGGAGGGAGGGCTATAGGCTATAGCGTAGATGGGGGCGGAGGCGAGGGAGGAGAGGGAGGTCGCAAGCGCACCTCCGACTGCGCCTCCGCTCCAGCTGCGGCAACACCAGGCGGCCCAGGGCCTAAACGCAGCGTCGGCGTCTACGGGTTAGTGTACAGTGCGGCGTGGAGGAGGGAGGTGGGCGGGGAAGGGAGTAGGAGAATTTAGAGTTCACGATGAGGTCGGATGAATAGAGGGGCGCATGCAGAAGTCAGCGCAGGGCCAGGCCACAGGCTGCACTAGGCTTACTCGGGATCGCGAGGAGCGGAAACGCATACTGAGAGGAGGCGGCTTGCTCTTCGCAACTAGAACTACTGTCAAACTGGTGCGTGGGAGGGCTCAAGCTCGGGGCCCCTCAGGGGCTCAGGTGCCCTCAGGGGGCGCTCCTGGCGTCTTAGCGTTGCCCTTCCTACGCTCACTGCTCATCAAAATGTTGAGCTTAGCCACGCCGGCGGTCGCTGGCAACGCGATTCCCTGGGCCCTGAAACCCTGGAGCACGGCTTCCACCAAGCCGCTGCGGGACTCACCGCACTTCACAGTGCGAAAAAGCGCCTGGACGCAGGTCAGCACCGCCACCATCTCCTGCGCCGTCTTGAGGTTGGTCGCGACCCCCTCCTCGTAGGACGTGATCGCTGGCTTCACCCCATCGCCTGCGGCGGCGGGCGGGGGGCCGACTCAGGAGAGGTTGGGTTGGGAGGCAGAGGAGGACTGAGGAGGAGCAGCAAAAGCAGTGGGGGGAGGAGCGGAAGGAGGGGGGCCATCTTCCCCCCTTACGCCTCTCCCCCCTCCTTCCTCCCTCCTTCCCCTCCTTCCCTGACTCCTTCCATCCCGCCGCCCCTCCCCTCCCCTTCCCCTCCCCCCACCCCCGCCTCCCCGCTCCGTTTCCCGCGGAGCCTCCGTGGGCCTGAAGAGCTGCGGTCAAACTGACGTTGGCCCTGTACACCTTCCAGGACTTCAACAGCTCCTTCGCAGAGTCGAGCTTCAACAATCCCTTGAGCTGGTCGGCTGGGATCTCGGTGGCTCCGGCCAACATCTTGTCCGCCACCCCGTCGAGATCGGCCTCGGTCGCCTCCGCGTGCATGGCGGTGACAAGATTCGTCAGCAGCTCAGTGGCCTTCTGCGCGCCCGCGGCTTCGGCGCGCTTCACGACCTCGGATTCCTTCTCGAAGAACGTCTGCCACATCTGAATGAAGGTGTCCTGCTCGGCCCCGGAGCAATGCCAACGCTGCTCTGCCCCGGACTTCGCCTTCAGGTTGGCGGCAGTCAAAGCCTCCAGATACATCTTGAGGTTCTTCGCGTTACCCGCGATGGAGTCGTTGATCGCGGTGCCCTCGCCGAAAGTGGTGGCCTCCGAGAAGTCCGCCAGCTCAAGGGGCCGATCCGCCAGGAACATCGATGCCAGCGGCCCGAACCCCAGGCAGACCCAACGCGCATCCACCTCGAGCTCGCCCACCTTGACCTTGCGATCCGCCAGGGCCCCCTCCGCCTGGTCGGACAGGAAGCCCCCCAAGAAGGCCGTGTCCTCGGTGACCCCGTTCAGATTCACATCCTTCATATCATCCACCACGCCGCTGGCGAACGTTCCAATCGCGCTGCCGACCTCGAACTTGCCATTGGAAACCGCCTTCGCAAGGGCTGCGTAGATGCCATGGTACTTGCCGCCCACGCGCGCGTCGAGCTGCTCGAAGAACTTCGCCTTCAGGGAACTCTTCAGCGCTAACTTCAGATCGCAGGCCGCCGCCCCCCAGCGCTTCATCGCGTCAGCGCTCATCCCAGCAAAGAACAGGTTGTAGCACTCCCAGAACGCGTTGTCAGCATCACTCGGGATCTCCTGCGGGAGCTCGGTCGGCATCTTCGCCAGGGTAGCGTTGACGAGCAGCAGCGCGATCTTGCCCCTCACGTCGGGAACGAACCTGCCGCCAACCAGCTTCTCCTTCACGAAGTTGGCAAGGCCCTTGGATAGCGCCCGGCGCTGCTGGACGCGCAAGTCCCAGTCCTTGATCTCCTGCTCGGCGAAAACGCCGTCGAGGCCGAGAGAGAGCCCGCCTCGAAGAGGGGGGCGAGGAGAAGGGGGGGCAGGGGGCCAACTAAGCCTCAGAGCCTCATTATCATCATCTCCTTCCTCCTCATCATCATCTCCCTCCTCCCCCTTCTCCTCATCATATCCCTCCTCATCATCTCCCCTTCATCATCTCACTCCTCATCATCTCTCCGTCTCCTCCTCATCGTCTCCCTCCGTCTCCTCCTCATCATCTCCCTCCTCCTCCTGCGGAGCCTTCTCGAGCGCGCGGTTCACCGCGGCGTTCTCGAAGGATTTGGCCAACTCGGCGATCGACGGAGCGCTTGCGGGGAGCTCGCCAGCGCGCGCTGCGTGGTGGACGTGCTTCAGCGAGGCCTGGACGGCCGACCAGTAGAGGGTCGACTTGGCCGCGACCATCACCTTCTTGAAGATGGACTGCTGGTCGGTGATCCTCGTCAACGCATCCTTGCTGAGCTCGTGGAACTGTTTAGACGCCGTGGCAGATATCTTCGCCAGCAGGCGAGAGTGCGTCACCCACGTCTTGACCGCCTCCATCACGTTGACCTCGAGCAGGTTGGGGTTCGCCCGGGGGGGGGGGGGAGATTCGTCAACGCAGTAGTGAGCTCAGCCTGCATAGCCTTGTCGGCGACCTTCTGGTCCATGCTGGCTCTCACGCGCTCAAGGATCATAATCGCCAGAGGGAATAGCTTCAGCGCCTTGCCGAATCGGCTCTCCTGGTCGGTTGCCCTGGTCTTGATCTCGGTCAGCTTGGCGTCGTCGGTGACGGACTCGTACTGCACGAGACCCCGGAGGTCATTGAGGTCGCGCTTCAGCTCCGCACAGCCTATCGTGATAGTCTGCAGGAAACCGAGGTACTGGTCGATTCTGTCCATGCCCTCAGGCGTCGCTTCAAGGACCCTCAACTCGTCCATCAGCTGGCTCATGATGGCGTGCTCCTGTTTCTTGTGAAGCTCTGGCTCGCCGAGGTGCGGTTTGAGGCAGGAGATCCCGTGCTTCGGGAGGTTCTCCCGATCGCCAATGTCCAGCTTGAGAGCCCAAGCAGCGAGGTCGTTCTGCTCGATGTCCTGGGCCAGGGACTTCTTCAAGACGGAGTGGAAAGCTGATGTAGACACTTGTACGCCCGCGGCCTTGCAAGCATCCAGGCACTCTTCGAGGTGCTCCGCCGAGCCAGTCGTCGCGGCGAGGCACTTCACGACTTCGCCCAGCGCCTTCAACTTGGTGATGCACTCCGGCGAGTCCTCCAGGGCCTGCAGCCCGCGGGCGCAGGAAGCCGAGCTGCCACTGGCAACGTCGTCGATGGCATCGCCGATAGACGTCAGGGCCATGGTCATGGAAGGCTGCACACGCTTTTCCAGCTTCTTCAGATGCGTTGCAATCTGCGCCGATGTAATATTCTTGAGCCCTGCGGGAGAGGCCGCCATCTGGAGCACGTGGTTGGCGCCCAAGTTCACGGACTCGCTGGACTGGATCTCCTTGGCCTGCTGAACGGCCTGCTTGCTCTCCTTGCCCCCCCCGGCGGCGGTCTTCTTCCTGCTGGCCCTGCCGCCGATGCCGTTAGCGTCAGCGCCGGCGCCGTTGCCGCCGCCGTTGCCGTTGCCGCGGCCACCCCCCGTGCGGGGCCTCTTCCTGCTGGGCTTGGAGACCGCCGCCGCGCCGTTGGCGCCCTCAGAGGCAGAGTCGGAATCGGCGCTGTCGAAGTTGCGCCCTCCCTGAGGCTGGCCCCGCTTGGCTCCGGCCGCTGCGGACCCGCTGCCCTTGGCGTTGGAGCTGCCGAGCGGGCCCGCGATCGCGCCCAACCAGTCGGTCGTTGGGCTGTCCGGGCTGCTGGCCAGTTCTGCGGCCAGCGTCTTCTTCCTCTTCGGCATCTTCAGGTTGAACTCCCTGCTGACGTCCCCATCCTTATCCTTGCCCCGCTTCGACGTGGCACCGACCGTTGCTGCCGCTGCCTTGTAGGCGTCCGCGATCTGGCCCTTCCTGCAGGCGTGCTCGCTGTCGCCGATCCTCTTGGCGCGCGAAGC